ACAGAAATTATTTTCAAGAAGTGAAATGAAAGTGCTGAAGGCAGTCTGCCCTTAACATTGAAATGGCTGCAGAGGCTCGTGGGCACCTTGACTGCAAGATTATTGAGGTGATTCCAGCATAAATGAGCTAATACAAAGTAGAAAATAATGGGAAAAGGACATCCTCATAAGGACAGTACCTTTAGACAGACCAGGTCCAGGAAAGTTCTAGCTGCAGTGTGAATAAAAAGAAAAAAAAAGATAGAAAAAAGAAAAAGGGGAGGGAAAAAAGGCCAGAAAATGTTGTAGCTGTAACAGAATAATGGCTGAGACACTTCCATACTAAGACATTGATGACCTGACACTGAAATAGACTGTTACGGGAGAGCCTTCAGGATCCAAAGAAAAACAGGGCAGAAGGAAAGATGGGAAAATGCCCAGACAAAGACATACACAGTTGCACAGATAACTGCTAATTTGAAGTGATCCTCCTGGATGGGAGACAGGCTTTTCTTTATTTACATGGTCTGGTTACCATGCTCTACTAAAATGACTTGAAGAATTTTACTACATGTGTGTTTTCCTTGATTAGCAACAGGTCTGAATATGTATTTCCTTAACATCAAGTCAAATTTTGATTATTCCAAACAAGCTGCCTCTCAGGGCAGCAAAACAGATTTTATAAATTATTTATTCACATGATAGAGAGAAAGTGTGCTTCTTCCATATCCATGTGAATTATTTGGGGTTTGAACTAGCCCACCTTTACAGTTTTATCCAACTTCAAAATGAAGTCAAAATCTATACACAGATCAGGACTCTAACAGTCGGTAACCCTGTATCCACCAAAAGCTTGACTTAGAACTATTCCTTGCACAGTTTCTGTAGTGTAATCATTCTTTGTTCTTTCAATGATACCTCTGAGTCTCCAGTGAGTGCACAACACAGCACTTTCTTTCCCTGTAATAACCATAAGACTTGCAAGATGATAAATTCCTGAAGTGGGCATTTGTGTGCTCCTCCTGTATCACACAGCCAGGACTTCCTCCCCAGGTAACACACCACTGCCTGTCCCTCCAGATGGAAAATTAAGGGGCCTGCCTCTCATCTCAGTTTTAACCCATCCTTGGCTCACCAGCTCCAGACAGATGTGCACATCAGCAACAGGAATGTTCTGCTCCTGGTGTTGTCCCTGCCCTCCCATGGTCTGCAGAGCAGAGTTTCAGCAGCAGGATAAGATGTTGTTTCCAGGAGATTTATCCACACCTCAGATTTGCAGGAGCCTACCTACTCAAGCCTGTGCCAAATTACATTTAGCAGTGCCAGAGCCATAAAGGAGTTGAATGCTAATTCCAGTCACACACTCTGCTGAGATGAAAACACATCTGAGGGATCCACTGATGTTTAGCTCCCCATGCACACCCCAATCCTTTTGTCTGTAACTGTCATTCACATCTTGGCTCATTTGCATCTTGAACATAATTATATTCAGAGCAAGACCACAGGGCATGAACTCATTCCATATTTACCTCCTAGTCCCAGAAAAGTCATCAGTTCCCATAGTGAGAGCAGAGTTAAAAGAACTGCCACTCCAGCACCTCTGTGTCAGGTGTCTTTTGACCTCACAGTAACTCTGCAGGGATTTGGGGTCTTGTCAGCATGAGATCCTCTGTACAGCTTACCTGTAATTATGAATCCATTTACTGAATACAGTTCTTGACATGTATTTCTTAATTTATAAATGTTTTAAAGATAATTACTTAGTTTCATTAAAAGTAAATCTGAAATGGGAATACACTGCTACAATGGCCATATTTCACTTTAATAGAAAGAGATATTGACATATTTTAGATGCAAACAAACCAGGGAGATATAGTGAGTATGGCCACTTAGGCTGATTGAAAGATGATTGAATAATGGCCACATTACTGTGAGAAAAAGTGGCTTTCCTCTTGAAAAATAATTATGTTTTTCTGTCTAGCTGCAGCAAAGTAGGCGGGAAGCTTAGATTGTTTTGTTCCATCAAAAGATGACAAGAGTATGGATGTAGATCTGTAAATTTAATTTAGTTTCACTTTTTAATAGAAAAGTGCTATTTTGAAACAAAGCCAAAGTTAACTCCAAGTTCACTGAGACATTGTATTCAGATATTTGAATATTTTCCTCCATTCTTTGCAGCCTCAACTTTTACAGTTGTAAAACGAAAAGAGTCTAGTTCTTCTCTCATAGCTCAGTTTTTAATTAAAAGCATTTCACCCACTAAATAATATCACTCTGGCTTCATTGGAAGTATAAATAAATAATTTAAAATTAGTTGTGTTCACAACCAATGATTTCCATCAGATATACAACCATACTGCATTTTGCTCTGGAAGATTTCAGCCCTTAGTCTCCAAGGATATTGCATCAAATGACCAGGCTCTTTGATTTCTCTTGAGAAATCAGAAGGTGATAATATTGGTCTATTCTCCTCGAGCAATAGACCAATTTACTCTCCAGGAGTAAAGTTATTATCTGTGCTCACCCTTCTGTTGCCATCATTTTTCCATAACACATGTTTCCATTCCAAGCAGCTTAGAAAGGGAATATTTTATCTTGAGGTTTCTTTCTTTCTGCACCCTGAGCAATTGCTAAACAAGATTATGGCAGTACCTGAGAAATGAGCCCTTCTTTCTCCTGGCTTGAAAAGCTGGTATTCCACATTACAGTGCCTTACTGGGGCCTGTCTTCTTTCCTATTTGTCAGCTCTGGGACCAGATGACTGCAGGTTAAAATCCAGGAAATAATTCTGTATTCTGGTTCTGTAATAGCTCTATGGAAAGAGACATTAACCCAGAAACTACAAAATAAAGCCACCAACTCAGGCAATGAACACTCAGCTACTCTGTTGTGCCAGTGCTTTATTAATGATGCAGCCTCTCACAGCTGCATCAGAAGTTCCTCAGTTTGAATGGGGTTAAAGGTGAATCAATTAGTTTAGATATAGAGGAGTTAGAAATTACTTCAAAAGATTCTCTCAGACCAACATACCTGAAAACATTGTAAAATATTTTTCCAGAAATTGCTCCAAGCAGAATGTGAACTTTGTATAACGATCATGATAGATGTTTTTCCTTTACAGTCTGATTTCCCAAACCAAAACTCACTTGAAATGCCATAGTGGATCTGAAATGTCTTGGTTTAATATCAAGAGAAAATGAGATCTGAGAAGCCACCGGAGGCACAGAGCTCTGGCAGTGCACTGTCCCCTGGAATATATTATTTTAAATTATCAGACAAGCCTTTGCCACTTCAGAATTGAATGCCCAGTTAGCAGGGATGTAAACAAAGGGAGCTTGCTAAAAACAAGGCTATTGCACAGAAGCTGAGCACCACTGGGTCAAGCTGCCTTCCTGCCCTCCCCGCTGGAGGAATCCACCCCCCTGCTGATGCTCCTGGCTCTGCACAGCAGCAGAGGCACTGACACACCTGAAGCAGCACCCAGTTGTGGAACCCAGGACATCCCTCTGGCTGTCCAGGATGGCCAAGACCCCTGCCAGGGGCTCAGAGACCCTGGCACAGAGCCCAAAACACCTGTGGGTTTGATTATGACCCATGGAGCAAGTTACCAACCTTATATGAGGATCTGCAAGCCATGACAGTTTAGGCAGAATAATAGTGAAGTTATCACAGGGTGGAAAAGTAGATTTTGGGGTTTTTGGTATGGGGGCTCAGGAGGCAAGATGGAGGGATCGGAGCATGTCCAGCCTTTCTCCTTCTTCTTCTTCTTCTTGGCCTCCATCTTCTGCTGTGATGGTGGCACTTAAAGATTGGTTTAGAGTAGAAGCTCACTGTCTAACATAGGTGATAGGTATTGGAAAGTAATTGTAAACATTGTACACGTGGTTTTTAGTATAAAGACATAACACTGCCCCTGGGGCAGGCAGAGTGCCTGGAACTGTCCTGCTGGACAGACCTCAGCAGGGCAGGAGAAAGAATTTTATAGACAAGATACAATAAATAACCTTGAGACCGAGAACTGAAGAGCTCTGACTCCTTCTTCGAGCACTGGGCTGGGAAAAGAGAATTTCTAACTCTTCTTGGGGTCACTCTGACCAGCTAAAGCCCCGACACCCACTAACTCTGCTGGCTCACACAGCAGAGCTCTGATCCCCCACCACGGGACCCATGGCAGCATAAAGCCTGGGCCAGGAGGTACTTGGAAAGGAATGAAAAAATCTGCAAGAAAAAAAAATATCTGACCTTCCCAAAACTGGGTATTTCTACAAAGATATGACCCTTCCAAAACTGCTATTTCCCCAAAAAGAGAGAGACATGTCTTATTCTGAGTCTTCCACCAATCACATCAAAGGCCAACAAACTTCCTGACCAATACATCCCCTAAGTATGGAAGCTGGAGCCTTCTCACTTTGAGATGATCATGATAGAAGTTGTCAAACAGATGTTGAAGGTGGCAGATGACTTAAAGGGGAAAAAAATACAAGTATAGCAATAAAACATTATGACAAAAAATATGCACACATTGGACAAATTAAACTTTTACAAGTGGCTGGAATTCTGGAATGTCCTATATTTCTATGCTTTTCTTTGCCATCTTGAAATTCTTTTAATATATTTATTCAAATCAAACCAGTAATTTCCTTTATAGATATCAGTCAGAGAATAAAGACTATTTTCTGTGTATTCTTCATGTATACAAAACTCCTTCACATTTCAGTATTATTAGCTTAATAAAGGAAATTAATCAATTACAAATTTTTTTCAAAAACTGACAGTGAAAGCACTGGAGTCGTAGTTTTTAGAGTTTTGGGATATCTCTGACCCTTCTGGATTGAATGGGGCAGCAAAAGTGGAGTAAGACTAGGGAACACAGCATGCCTTGCAGAGAAAATTTTTAATTGTAGCTTTTTAAATAAAGAACTGACAAATAAAAACAGATTTCTTTCACATTAGTCAAAACAGAAGAAACTGAAAATACTGAATATAAAAACACAGCTAGAGTCTCTGCTAAGAAGGCACTGCCTATGAAAGGTCCATAGTTTTCAAGACTTACAGGAACACAGGGGAAAGGTTACCTTAAAACAAAATAGCTCCCACATCCACCTCCACACAGGTTTAGGAAGGTTGCCAGGATGCTGGTATGTTATAGAGTAGTAAAATTATTTCTGAAGGAGGAAATGCTGCTGTTCTCAGAATGTATTAGACCTAAGGACCAGAAAAAAATTAAACTGTTACATCTCCATGGACACAAGAATGGAAGGAGATCACATCATTAAATTTTTGTTTATTTTTTAAGTTGTTTGTCAGATATGAAATCAAGTGACACTGACTTTAAGAAAAATTGAACTGATTGCATTTAGATAAGCATTTCTGGAAAAAGAAATTATAGGAAATGATATAGATGACTTGTAGATGGCAACTTTGCATTATGGTATATCAGATATTTAGCAACATCACTGCTGCTTACCATAATTGTTTTCTGCATATAAATAACACATGACCATCAGGAGCGATCCTCCAGTGAAAGAATACTATTGCCCTATTTTGCAAAAATAGCTTAATATTTCTGAATAGTAATTCCAAAAAAACACAATACCAAAATACTGTGGCTGTACAGGGTGGGTTATGTAATATCTGCATTTCAGAGTTACCAGAGGGTTTGCTCTTGGCATATAATGCCAAAGAGATGATTTTGTTATTTATTCATGGTGCACTGTCTACAACACAAGTAAGGTGAACACCAGCATTAGTGAAATAATACTCTGTTGCTTATCAGAGGGAAGGCCTCCTTGTCTTAGGGGAAATTAGAACTGTATAATTTTTTGCAATCTACATTTGAAAACAATTTTGGCCTCAGACCTTTCTGACTGCACAAATACTAATCTACATGAGCATATTAATCACCAATTTCTACATATGAAGCAATACCTCAACACACCAATTGTTCTGGCAATTCAATCATTAAAAAATTGTACATTCATATACATAAACTAATAGATACTAAATGTAAATTAACATTTTGAAGCTCACTTCTACATTACAAAACTCCAAACCATGGTGCCCAGATTATCCCCTCAGCACTCCTGATGCTGTGGGTCTCCAGACAATTTGGAAATGCAGATCTCACTTTTTCACCTTCAGATATGCAGCCAAAGTTTGTGGAATAAGTAGCAACAATTTGTTCTCCAGTGAGTTTCAGACACAAGGTCAGATCTCAAGAACTGATAACTACTCAAGCTGAGTCATACATTTCTAGCACTTCCCTGGCTGATGGGTACACAAGAGAACAGATTTTTGCACTTGTTCAGTTCCCCAGGACTGTACATCAACAGAGAATGTACCTAGGGATGGTACAATCCTATAGTGACGTTATTTGAAATAAATAAATAAGTTCTTTATGCACCAATTAATCATTGAAGAATAAAATGTAAACAAGTCTCAGCTGGCCTCTCCTACATCTTACAGGATCCTCTGTGAATGGGCAAATCAAAGCAATGACCCAAAGCAGTTAATCATTAATGTCATTGATTTGCCAGAACACAGTGCACCTGCCAAGCTGCACTGCTCATTTTAGTCTTAATGTCTTGAGAGAAAAAACCTTGTCCCCTGTCAGGGGCAGATAGATATTCTTACATATCCAACCCTATCAACTGCTTTGATGTGCATTACTGACCCAAAGCCTGAAAGATGTAGTACAACAACACTTACTGAATGGTATGTGAAAGAGAAATCATTCACACTTGATTATTGTGCTCAAAAGCCCCCAGGTTTAGAGGATGATCCCAACTGTGCTGTAAATTAAACAGCTGCTGCGATCTGATTGAAAAGGCTCAAGTGATTTAACCAATCACTAAAGCTGTTTATTAGAATTACAAAACAACAAAGGAAATCTTTGGTTGGTGACACACCACTGTATTTTAAAATATTCATCCTGGCCAAGAGGCCAAGGACCCTGTGTATGCTGACCCTCTCCTAAGCTGTCAGGCATACACACTGATGGTGTTGTAGAACACCTCATCAGAAAATATCTGTTTTGTTTGTATCAGCCGTGAAGATCCCCTCTTGTTTCACAAATGAGTTTTTCAGTTCAGTCAAATAAAGACCATTTGTGAAATGTTCATTTAAAAGAACAATATTCCTCTACTCATCACAGTGACAAGTAGAGGAATCAGGAATGAGCCAGAGACTATTTGGTAAAACATCACAAATTTGTGAAGCCCCCCAAGATATTTAAAATATGGTTTAGTTCTCGCTTATAAAATGTGCTCATTTAAACACCTTTCTTCATTTTGCAGTATAATTTACTATTCTGTTCACATTTGAACTAACACATGCAATATTTTATAGTTTTTTATTCTTCCTACAAGGCACAAGAACTGTTTTTTCTATCACTTCCTCATAGATGACTCTTCTGGTAGTTAAGGAGACACTCCTGATTATTGCCCAGCAATATCAAAAAAGTCAGAATCAGACACATATTTTCCTCAACATTATTAAATTTATGATCTCCTTGGTTTTATAAATATTTCTACTGGGTTATGTCCATTATTGCCTTACATCTATTATTGCTAAAATATCATTTTTGAAGGAAGGCAGATAGAAAGGAATTCAGCAATGTCTTCTTTGGCCGTTCACATAAAGCTTTCATAACTTTTCCAGGTTTTTGCTTAAGAATTCCATTAAAAGCATAGTTTCTTGGATGGAGGCTGCTTCTAGAAAACAAAGTTAAAGTTTATTACAACATGAAATAAATATGTACTTTCTGCTGTTATTCAGGGAATATAAAATATTAAAAATGTTCTTCCACTCAAAGTTGTAAGGCATTTTGCTAATCTGCTGCAATTTTGTAGCAATTTAAAAAGGTCACAGACCTCTTTATAAACTTGATAACAGTGCACTGCAACCCTTCCACCAACCAATGCAATGCTGTACTCCCTGAAGTCAAGTGGATCAATGCCTGGTTGTACAAAACATTTGGGGCCTCCATAATGAGCAGTGCTTTTCTTTATCATTTTGGTTTTCTTATTTCCTGCTCCATTTTAATGGCACAGCCAGGGAGATCTTGTCAATGCAGAATCTCTAACACTAATAAGAAAGAATTTGTCATTTCTGTTAACTGTTGTGCCTTGTTATTTCTGTGCTTAGGGAGAAACAACTTCTCCATATGGCCAAAGCAGCTCTTTAAGAGAGATTTCCTAGGAGAGCTTTGTCTTTCTCACTGGGATTGCATTGCCCATGAGTTTTGTTTTGCCTTCTGGTTTCATGCCAAGAACTTTAAAGCCAGAGTGAGATATCACAAAGTAAAACCAAAAAAGTGTACTAACATACATTCCACTGTAAAATAGAGGTATTTTGATTAAATAGTAAGGTATAATAGAGGGGTGTGATAAAACACAAAGTCCAATGTCCTTGTATCAAATGCTGTGCATCTGCAGAGTTGCTCTGAAACCTTGACTGCACATGCCACAAGAGCTGGTACCAGGCCACACAACAGCCAGAGCTGCATCCTGCTCACCAGCACTTCTTCGGGTAGACCAAAAGAGACTTCTTTACAGGCTTTCTAGAAGCTAGGGCTCTCTCCTTTCAAACCTGAAATCCTGCTGGGGTTCCAGTTGTGGGTTTCTCTGGGTCTGGATTGAAGGCACTTGAGACAGTAGTTCATGTTCAGACTCAGGTATTTATTATTTCTTATCAGTAAAACAGTCTCACTACTGTGAGTTTTTGAGCTTTTCATTAGAAGGCACAAAATTACCAACAATCTCTTGTTACAAGAGCTTTTAAGACTAAACTATCCAATTAAGAACTGACACCTTTTAACCCAATAACTGATCCCGAAGAGCCCACAATGGGACTTTTCTGCCCAATTACAAAATGCCACCCAAACCCATGAGGAAGAAGAAAGAAGAAACATGAAGAAGCAACCCAGAACAACACCCTGTGCCCTCCATCTTGCTTCCATCCACAACACACTAAAAATCCAAACCCTAAATTTCTCACAAAGTGATACACCTACACTACTCTCTACAATCTCTTTCACTCTTTTGTGGATTCTAGTCTATCTTGACGGCTAGAAAACTTTCTCCATGAATGAGGGTCAAAGTCAGTGCTCCCCTGGGGGTCAGGGCACCCCAGAGCATACAGAGAAATATTCCCAGTGCCCTGGGTTTCCACAAAATCCCCATGATCTGCCAGGAATCCCCCTGCACCTCCCATAGCTATAGGTTGGGATATTGGATGGGACAATCAATTCCCAATTTTTGCACAACCAAGATATTGCACAGCTGCTCCTCATCTGAGGCAAGGCTGGGTTTATCCAGGTCTTCTGAAAGAGAGGGAACAGGTGGGATAGAAACTGGGACCCCTTGAAAAACAAAGCACTTTGAGAAGGATTATGGGCCTGGTGAATGAAAGCTTCTGGGCACTTTCCAGACCAAGCCCTGCTCCAGCTGAGAGCAGGAATGACAGCAAGGACAGCCCTCAGGGATCCCACTGATCCTGCTTCCTAAACACTTTTGGCTTCCCAGCCCTACTTGTGTCATTAATGCTGTCTGAACAAGATAAATGTTAATTGAAACAATTTGTTCCATTATGGATCTTCCTTTGTCTATTATTTATTTGAGTCAATTCAGAATTTTTTCTACGTTATTTAAAGGGCACCTGCTTCAGCTTAAGAGTGAATAATGCAGTAAGACAACTGTAGAACAACCTGAATTGATTGGGAAATGAGTGAAAGCTGTTATATTGAATAGAAATCGTTTTGCTTCTGAACTGGCATGAGTATGTCACTAGCCAATAGATTAATATTTGCAGTAAATCATCTTGCACCTGGTAGCTGTGGTGATGTGTTGGAATTATTTCCTAGGTCTTCAGTGAAAAAGGGAAAGCTGGTCACAGTTGCAGTAATATAGAGCTGGAGTGTTAGGTGAGAATTGAGAACACAAACACCTCTGGTACAGATGGGTGGAACCAACAGAGTCATCAGGAGACACGGCAGCTTCTGTCTGCCAGTGGTCCTAACCTCAGTGGGTTTCAGGAATAAACAGTTGAGAGGTACTCACAAAACTTCCCCAGGAATCACTTAATTAGGAGAGGTTTAAATAATTTAAATCACCAGCAACTGAGTGTAAGTGATGAATTAAACACCACGTCAGAAACACAACTGAGAAAACTCCTGGGAGGGCAAGCACATAACAATCCTTTGCAAA